ATTGGTGATAAAGGAAATGTGGGAACATAGAGCCTAATTTTCGAAAGAAAAAACAAACAAAAACTTAGAAATGAGGGAACATAGGGCTGAGGGAACATAGGCATGCTCCCATAATTGTAATTGCCTTCAGCAGGAAGTTGATCATCTCCTCCAATCTCATTTCAGATTTTGGTCAGGGCCACACCTAAATGTCTGCTGATTGACTACTACCTATTTTGTATTGGGGGAGGAAACCCGCCCAGACACAGGGAGAATGTGCAACCTCCACAAAGACAGGGAAGAGAAAGCTATCCATCGTGCCAACCTTTAAAATGTTCACAGAGGAGAATTTGATGATCATTTTTGTTCAAAGGGACATCGCAATACAAAATGTTATTGTCACAATTATAGGGACAAAAAAACACACACACAACTGAACAATTATTCACTATTATAGGCACAATGGGTGAATAACAGTGAAATCCTTAACTACCGATGTTCAGTAGGATTATGACGTCACAAATCATCAGAATTAGCCCAATGTTAAACCAATGGACATTTAAGGATGCCATATATTTAATGTGCACTCTGACACTATAAAACAATAAATTACTATTAGCAGAGATGTGGCAGTTTATCAGGTTATTCCATCGTGCTTTTGTTGAAGTTGTACTGCCTAATGTAGCCAGAAACATGATTTCCATGGCAACGGACGCTCTATACATTACCTAATTATTCTAATATGTGACCAGCTTTATAAAATCAAATTTTCTGAATTATAGAGTGCAGTTATTGTGATATTAACAGCCAAATAAAAAACTGTCGAGGTCTAGTTTTAAATCTTTTTGAGGAGAAGTTGAAAAAAAATTGCACCCTGAATAATCACTATTAGCAGTTAACCAAATCATCTTGACATCTATATTGTTCATTTAGATAACATTGTTAAATTGAAACCAGTTGAATTGCCTATATGTATTCTCCAGTGTTTCCTCCTATCTGACATGTCCTGAGCCTCCGTGTTTGCCTTGAAAGTAAAAGGTCTTCATTGGTCGACTGTGTTCAGCGTGAATCCCCTTTTGTCCAGCCGCTGACCCCTGACCCTTCCCCTTATGTGTGCGCGCGTGTCTCTCTGGCCTTAAGCGAACGGAACAAAGGGCTTTTTTCTGTGTCCACCCTTATCTCACCCCCTCCCCCCTGCTCTCGCCTCGACCACCACCGCCCCCACCCCTCGGCACACTCCGCCCGCCCCCCCCTTACCCCCCTCTGTGAAGCATCCAAAGCTAGGAGACGCATGTTACAGCCTGACAAGCCCAAGACAGTATTTTGAAAACAGCCAAGGCCTTCTCTGCATACACCGCACCATCCTACGCCTTTCCGCTCTTCTTTTCAGAGACGTGAATTTTAGGGATTTTTTTGTTTGTTTTTGTTGCTCAAATGAGAGGAAGGAGAGTCAAAAGGGCGGAACAAGTGTAAAATCATTATGGCTTTGCTTCTTTCTATCAATCTCACCATCAAGCATGTCTGATATAATGAGTTTGGAGTATTTCAGTTACATTGTCTAAAACCTGTCAAAGCTTGTATCCTTGAGCATTACACCCTCCTACAAGTGTAACCTTCACCTTCCTCGCTCTTCCTCCAGCCCTCCTCCTCTCACCCTCTTTGTCTCTCTGCTGTGGGTTGTAAAGTTACAAAAACATTTTATTCATTACATCTAGGAGTTGAAACATGTGTTATGAAAAAATACTAGCTTTTCTTGAAACAGAGTAGCACATCGTAAAGGTTCACTATGTAGCTTTTCTGATAGGAGGTCCGCTACCTTGTCTCCATGGAGATGTCATTGCTGCATTATGGCATAAAATGTGTATAAATTCATTAAGACATGCAGGCTGACCATGTGACTGATAGTGCAGGGTTTGAGGATACATCAATTTTGATGGGTTGGATATCGGTTCAGTTGATATCAATTCACTCTGTATTAGGGCTGGGTATCATTAAGAAGTTACCGATACAATACATACATATCTCAATACAGTGCACTTTCAATTCGATACGATATATTTCAAATAGTTTTCAATGTGGTTCAATAAAAGATAAAGACTACATCATAGCTGTGATACTAAAAGTCTTTGTTAAACCACTTCTTGTGCAAAGTTCATATGAAACACAAATCACACACATTTTAATCCTCAAAACAGTGAAAATGTCGCATAAATGAGTTTCCTTCCACTAAACAAGTAAAAAGACGATTTACTGGACAATGTTAGTTTACTTGATAATGTTACTTTAAATGTGAAATAACAGTTGCAAAACAAATTTTACCAAATGCATTGTGTTTAAAGGAAATAAATTATAGTTTTACTTCTTTAGTCTCTCCTTAGTATTGGTTGATATTGGCAGATACTTAAAACTAAAGTAGCAGCAGCAGCAGTTGACTACAGATGTAATGCAGAGGTTATGGTGCAAAGGACCCTAGGCTGAAATGACTCTGAATCATCCCTTTAAATGTGGTATAAAAAAAATAATAATAATAATTACTTGACTTAGAGTTTAATTTTGAGAAAAATCTTCAAAATAAGAAAAATCTTAGAAATGAGGGAACATAGAGCTGGGGGAACATAAGGTTGTGGGAATATAGAGCTGTGGGAACATAGAGCTGTGGGAACAAAGCACTAAGGGAACATAGAGCTGTGGGAACATAAGGTTGTGGGAACATAGAGCTGTTGGAACATAGAGCTGTGGGAACATAGAGCTGTGGGAACATAGAGCTGTTGGAACATAGAGCTGTGGGAACATAGAGCTGTTGGAACATAGAGCTGTTGGAACATAGAGCTGTTGGAACATAGAGCTGTGGGAACATAGAGCTGTTGGAACATAGAGCTGTGGGAACATAGAGCTGTGGGAACATAGAGCTGTGGGAACATAGAGCTGTTGGAACATAGAGCTGAACATAGAGCTGTGGGAACATAGAGCTGTTGGAACATAGAGCTGTGGGAACATAGAGCTGTTGGAACATAGAGCTGTTGTGGGAACATAGAGCTGTTGGAACATAGAGCTGTGGGAACATAGAGCTGTTGGAACATAGAGCTGTGGAACATAGAGCTGTGGGAACATAGAGCTGTGGGAAATAGAGCTGTTGGAACATAGAGCTGTGGGAACATAGAGCTGTTGGAACATAGAGCTGTGGAACATAGAGCTGTTGGAAACATAGAGCTGTGGGAACATAGAGCTGTGGGAACATAAGGCTGTGGGAACATAGAGCTGTGGGAACATATGGCTGTGGGAACATAGAGCTGTGGGAACATAGAGCTGTTGGAACATAGAGCTGTGGGAACATAGAGCTGTTGGAACATAGAGCTGTGGGAACATAGAGCTGTTGGAACATAGAGCTGTGGGAACATAGAGCTGTGGGAACATAGAGCTGTGGGAACATAAAGCTGTGGGAACATAGAGCTGTTGGAACATAGAGCTGTGGGAACATAGAGCTAACCCTTCTAGTTTGAGGGGCCAAATCAGCTCACATTATCAGTTATGTCTACATCATTCGGCCCAGGGCAAGTGAGGTTTTACTGAAAAGTTGTACCACCACCTTTTGTGATTTAGGTGTGAATGAATAATGCACCGAAGTGTAAAGTGACTGAGTCGATAGAAAGCGCTGAATGAATCCAAGCCATTACTGTTGTTAAATCACGTCGGCCGGTATGGTACAACACAAGTGTAAAATTGCTATGATTTCACTCCATTCAAACATGTCTATTGCTACATTTGATAAAACAAGTTCTGAACATCCCAGTATCCCTGTTTCACTATGTACACTGTCAAAACGAGGATGCTCACACATTACACCCTCCTACAAGCGTGACCTCCGCCCCCTCTTCCTCCAGCTCTCCCCTCTCACCCTCAGCCTTTTATTGCCTCATCTGCTTTTCTTGTCGGGGTAGAAGTAAGCCGCTTAAACACCTACAGGGTGTGACATCGGCCCCACGCGCATCCCAATCCAGTCAGTGAAGGCGGGAGAGGGATTTTGACTGAAAAGGAGAGCGTTTTATTCGTCTTTTCTGTTGCTCCAGCTCTGGTTGGCATCAGCGGTGTGAATGTGGTTGTGGAGAAGCCAAGGCTGTCCCCTCACATTAGCCGGGGCTGAGGGAGACAAGCCGTCACCCC